AGTTACACTTAAGCACCAGCCCACCTGTTTGAGAGGCAGCTCCTTCCCACACACACTTGACTCCACTCAACGCCCATTCCCCAGTTCTTACCAATGGCCCGCATATTTAACCAACACACATACGAGTACACTCTACACTGGTGTGTGCTGTGCGCACACGACTGACATGTCCTGGCGCCGATTGTGGTGCTCGGCTTCATCCTGGCGCCGATGTCTCGACCGCCTGCGCATTTTCAGTATAAAAGGAGGCGTCAGGCTCGATTTCTCTGCAGTGCCAACGGCGAGGCGACGCGCGTCTCTTAAAATACTTTGCAGTGGACTCCAAAGCTAAACATTTAAAACCTGCATATAAAGCATATAGAAAATATAAATTAAAGTTGCTTAATTGTGTTTAAAAATTGCCTCAAAATGTTACATTTAAAAACGCTGTAAAAATCGCAAAGAGTGTTGTGAATTTTATTTTACAAATAAATAGGTGAAGTACTGAGAAATTTAAGCATATTCAATTTTATCTAAATTATTTCCAAGGAACTAAGATTTATGTATACAAATTTTATTAAATTAAATACGATTCCCTTATTCACAATAATTTTTAAAAAGAAAAGTAATTCAATTGTTTTATACAAATATTTTCACCTAAATTTCATTAAAAAAAACAACATTTTTCCAAATAAATATTAAATTTTTAACAGTAATGAGGCTTTCTAAAATGGAAAATATTTTAAATTAAAATGTACAGGTATAAAAATAAATATGTTCTACTTTATTTCATTTCTATACATACATTTAACTCCAATTTAAAAAAAAAAAACCAACATTTTTCCACATAAATATTAAATTTTTAACAGTAATGAGGTTTTCTAAAATGGAAAATAATTTCAAATTTCAGGTATACAAATATATATTTTCTACTTTATTTCATTTCTATACATACATTTAACTCAAATTTAAAAAAACCCAACATTTTTCCACATAAATAATAAAATTTTAACAGTAAAAAAAATGAATAATTTTAAAATGGAGAATAATTTGAAATAAAAGTAAACATATTTTCTGCTTTATTTTATTTCCATATTTTTAACTCAAATTTCATAAGCAACCAATATTTTTGCACATAAATAATACATTTTTAACGATAATGAAGCTTGCTAAAATGGAGAATATTTTAAATAAAAATAAATCTACTAAAACATTGTCTAAACACATTTTCTAACATTTTCATGTTTATATTATTATCTTAAATTTCATAAAAAAAACCACAATTTTCCCACATAAATCATAAATTTTTAACAGTAATGAAGTTTTCTAAAATGGAGAATAATTTCAAATAAAAATAAATCTACTAAAACAATTTCTTCTTTATTTCATTTGTATATTAGAATTGAATTTTTAACGAATATGTTGGCAGAAAGGTCGCGCAAAAGAGCTGTCTCAATAAAATCTTTGATTTAATGCCTAGCCAATTAAAAAAAACAACTTAAATTAAAATTAAAACAACATTGTATGTGTTTCTAAAACTCTTCGCCTTCAGCACATTTCTTGACATTCACAAATGCACTCTCAATTTAAAAATATTGACTTTTCATTTTAACTTTTCGATTTTTTATTACTTTATATTATTATTTTTAATGGCTATCCAATTAAATAAAAAAAAATAAAAATAAAACAACATTGTATGTGTTTCTAATTTAATCTAATACACAAATGCTCTCTCAAATTAAAAATATTAAATGTTTCCAACACACAAATTTTAATCGAAAAGTATTCGGACTTTTCATTTGAACTTTTCGATTTTTTATTTCTTGGTATTATTATTTTCAAAGTATTGCTTTATTTAGCGTTCAATTATTAAAGAATATGCGGACATCATATTCTTGGCAAAATTATATAAAGTTAATCCGGACTAACGCGTGTCTGCAAATAATTTATATACTATATCTATATACTATATCCATGCAACTGGCGCATGTTGTGCTGTTATCAAATGAATATATATTTAAACCCCTTCAATGGCTAAGAAAAAAATACGTCCAAAGTTCACCAGCGCCCTTCTCCCATATCTCTAAGTGGCTTTTAATTACTTTAAAATTGAGGTTTCATTTCATTCAATAATTAGTCGCATAGGCGTTGTTATCAAAGTTGCTTTTAAACATTTCTGAGTGTTGCATGTAAAACGTGTTTATTCCATTATTTTGAAATTAACAACATTGCAGAGAAAACAATTAAAAGATATGCCAGAAGACGCAAATATCTCCCCCTTTGCTTACGACAAAAACTGGTCTTAGGAACTTCGCATTTGAAATAATTATATACGAGTATGAAGGAAACCAAATAATAAGGAGAATTCCTTTCATATTGTGTGTTCATTTCCCTTAGCAAGAAACTAATGTCAAACAGGAAACTTTAGCGATTGTCCTATTTAAATATCCAGAAGGCTCGCATTCAAGCACTACAATATAATATTCACATATCGAGACTCCCATTAGGTACACAATCGTGGCTCAGATGTGCCATCATTTCGATGAACTTGACCAAAAATCCGAGCCGAAGGCTACACACAAATGCATTGATAACGTTAATGGGGATAAGGTCAACAAAATATTTACAACATTGACATTGAACGGCAACATTTTGGTTAAAGCGAATGAAATGGGGGCCAACCAGTTGGCCACCTCTGACCATAGCGGCCAGCCCAACCGCGTCGGCACACATACTACTATATAGTACATATTTTACAGGGAAAGGAGACCTCGGGGACTCCGCATACTTTAAAAGTGTGTGTTTGTCGTTAAAACGCATACAAATTTTTTGCAAACAAGCCAGGGGTAGTCATTACCGATAGTTTCCATTGCAAATATATAAAAAGTCAAACATTTTACAATTAAAATTGTTTCTATCAGCAAAGGTTTCATAATTTAATAATTATCGATAGTCATTACCGATAGTTTCCATTGCAATAAATATAAATATAAATAATCAAAAAGAGTACAATTAAAATTGTTTCTATCAGCAAAGGTTTCATCATTTTCCTCAATTCCTCCAAAAAAGAACTTAATTGATACCTTTATGACATACATTTGAAATTGGTGAATAAAATTTGCATACCACTTTTTTAAGGGTTTAGATGTGATTTTATTTTAGATTTTAAACTATCATAAAAGCGCTTGACCTAACACTGCTAAATAAACATTTCTTTGAACAAAACTTACCTCGGATTCCTCTAAGAGCAGAGGATGATACGAATTTCCCAAATAATAGGCAGTATCGTGTTCATATCTTTCAATCCAAAATATAGTTATTGTTTTTTTGAAATTCGGTTGGAAATTATTTCGATATTTAGCTCAAAACTCTGACAAAGTGCAATGGAAACTTGAATCTTATATTTTCTATAGACATATTCTATTACCCCGACAGGCATAAATAAAACCAAATTTTTATTTTATTTTATAAGTTTTATACATAATTCATATCAACCATCTATTGACTGCACTCAAAATATGTTAATTGTTTATACTTTATTTAGGAATTTATTAATCTTAATCTAATTCTTTTAAATTGCTACATTTTCATCAAATAATAACAATATTAAAGTTTATAAAAATGTTGCTTTCTTATTGAACATTACAGCTAAATAAGGTGTGCGAAATAAGTTTATGAGAGAAATTAAATTTTTGATTAAGCAACTATGTTTTATTATTCTGTCTCGCATATAACAGCACTCCCAAAAGTACTTTAAATGCTATATCTAAAAAAAATGGCTTAGGACAAATAACAGAAAATAGATATACTTCCTTAACCTGAACTGGATTCCATGGAATTTATTAGGTTTTGTAGTACTTTTGGGTCAATTTTAGCCAATTCCAGAACAATAGCATCTTTGACATTTTTCAAAGTATAGGAAGGAAAATAACATCCCTTAAGGGTTCCAAATTGGATTCTGAAAAGTTAATGAAAACTTTTCTATAAGCACTTTATCTAAGAGATGAACATATTCAATATTCATTCGAATTGTTCTAATGTTGGATAATGGGGTAATCAAAAGTGAACCTACTTAAACACCTTTTTTGATATTCGATAAAAATCTCTATTATCTCCTTATGTGTATTAGCATGTAAGTGAGGACTAATTTAAAATAATCACACACCTTTTATTCATTGAACTTGTAGATATCGTTTTGGCTAGGACTTTCCGATTTTAGTAAAGAGGGTGAATTTTAGAATTAGGTTCTATGAGATATTTTTCCTCTCCAGGTATTGAGGTTCAACTCGCAAAGTTAACCGATATCAAGCCGGCTTCTACAATTCGCAACTGTATGTTAAAAACTGAGCCAAGGAACTAATGTCTTTACCGACAACTTTCCAAGAGCGATAAATACATACTTATATTTACTTACAAATATGTAAAGGCTAACAAAAAATAACGTATGTACATCTAAGGCGCACCCTAATATTCAATAAAAGCCTTTCAAAGGATTATGCTGCTGGTGTACTTGTGTAATTGCAATACTATATATGTGTCTAGGAACAAATGTAGTAAGTACATACGTATAGTATAGTTTGTATATGTACAAGCGTATTTAAATAGTATGAACATAGATATATACATACAGATATTGTGTACAACATTCGGGTGGAGCCTCATTACCAATTGCTAAGCTAGCCATTTAATTTGTTTCCTCTACCACTTTTGCAGTTTAAAGCCATCCGATTGAAGGCCGTGCCAATGATACCAGAATGTGAAGAGTGAAGGCAAAATGCAATTTATAGTGCACTGCCGACGCTAAACGGCCGGAAACGACGCAGCCAGCTTCCGCCCTCACCTTGAATCCCCCACTTACGCCAACCGCTGTGGAATTGCACGCAACTGCCGTCGGGCTCAGATACGTTCACAGTCTCCGGCTGGCTGCTGTGCCCACACTAGTGCCGCGATCGGCATACACTGCCACGCCCACGCCCACACTCGCACACCACCCCACACACCCGCCTACGTCACCGTGCGCCATGGATCGCAGCAAGAACAACAGCACCGAGTTCGGGCACAACGCAGCGGCCACAAATGCTGCAACAGCCTCAGCAGCTCCCTGGACCAATAACAAGGACTCGCCGAACAATGAGGACGACTCAAATGAGGACGACGGCGATAATGCGACACCGGCCAAGGTGACCGATCCCCTGGCACCACGTCTCACCAACAACGAGGTAAATAAGTTAAACACACTAAGTAGTAAATAAAGCTTGGAAGGCTGAGAAGGCCAGAAATATCCATGGTGGTGGGGGCCCTCACGGGCCACTGTCCTATTGGCAGACATGCATCAAGGCTGAACATTCCGTTCAACGACTTCTCTAGAAGCTGCAGAGACGAGGAGGAGGAGGAAAGTGTGGAGCACCTCCTCTGCCACTGCCCGGCGCTGAGCAGGCGCACTCTACGCACCTTAGGGAAACCCTTCTTAGGCGACCTCTCGGAAATTCAAAATGTGGAGCTCGTGGAATTAACAATATTTTTAAATACCACCGGGTGGCTGAAGGCTGTCCAACAAAACTAGGGATTATTTGGTATTACAACGAGCCTTCTAGGCCTAAGTGGGGGGTGATTATCATCATCTCCGCCATTTCAACCTAACCTAACTTATTTCCTTTCATTTCATTGATTCACAAAAATTGGCATCATAAATTGGTGTGTATCTACAATTAGTTAATAATACTTGTATAGAGTACGGGTTATAAAACCTTATCAACTAAAATATACTTGTATATAAAATGTGTTTTTACAGTTTATGACAGTTTCTAATATGTAAGAACAAAGTGGGGGAAAATTTTATCAAAAAGATTCGAAAGATCACACTACACACTACCGTCGGCAGCAGCAAATTTCTTCATCTTATATTTATATTTTTCCAATCAAACCACATTATGGACAAATGAATATATGCATATATGCAGGATTACCTTTAATAACCGGACTAGTAGTATTTAAAAATTTCAAGAGAACATTTCGGAGTAGCGAGACAATAATTAAGAACTAAATAATAATAACAAAAAGCGATTGTTATTTGTCGAGGATTCTCTTTGTTTTACAAACTTTAACTCCTCTTTTAGAATAATAAGTTTTGAAATGATTTAAAACCGATATCGAACAGATCGCACACATTTGAAACGCTTTTCGAATGTGAGAATTGTTTTGTAGAAAATTATTTTAATTATGTGTTCTAATTTTTAAACAGTCCTGTACTTGTACATACTCGTATATAGTATATGTTTAACAATTTTCAATATTTTCTTATTTTACTTTACTGGTATTTTTATAATTTAACTAACATTACATAAATATTTAAAATACATGTATTGCAGTTTTATGAGTCTATTTAATAGATTTTCATTTAAAAATTAATTTCAAAAAAATATTTCCATAAAAGTTGATAATCTTGATTAAAGAACTATTAAATGGTTTTTATCAAAAATATATTACTTTTCAGAACACTGTTAATTTTGTTTTTTTTATATATATTTGACACATATTTATTGAAAAGAGTAAAATCTGTGGACAATTCTGGGAGCTTTAAAAAGTTGTCCTCCCGGCAAAAATTCAGTTTACTTGTAGAAAACTAGTTGCGTACTTTGTTTTCTAACTGAAAACTAATGGCTTTAATGCTACTAAGTGTAAGGATTAGGGAAAGTACAGTACCCTTCCAACGCGAATTCTATGAAAGAAATAATATTAAAAACCTAAAAAATTAAAATTGTAAATTGTAAATTATACAACTCTAATGGTTTCATGAATAATAATAATAATGAAATAATTCAGATGTATGTAACTGCTTTCAATAAATGGAAACGCTACAATATAGTGGAGCTTTATATAATATATGTAGGTATCTATAGGATAACTTCTCAATTTGGGAAATACAAAGTGTATCTGCTTCAAAAAAGCCCGTTTTCCAAACAATTTCTTTGACGTCGATAAACTAAAAGCAACACATCGTTTTGATGTTCATGTTTCGAGATTCCACAATATTATATAGTATTACAGTTTTATTTTAAACATAGAATTCCTACCAATCTTGTAGTAACCACACTCCAAACTCAATATTTTTGTTCATATTCCTTGCAGCGTGTTTTAGTAGTTTCGGTCACAGAAAGACGTCGCGAAACGTGGGGCCAGAAGGCCGAGTTTTTATTGGCCGTCATTGGATTTGCTGTTGATTTGGGAAATGTCTGGCGGTTTCCTTACATTTGTTATCAGAACGGTGGTGGTGCATTCCTCATACCCTACTGCGTGATGCTTATCTTTGGTGGCCTGCCCCTCTTTTACATGGAGTTAGCCCTTGGCCAGTTTCATCGTTGCGGCTGCCTCAGTATTTGGAAGCGAATATGTCCGGCGCTGAAAGGTGAGCTTTTCAAAAAAAAGAAGTACAATTTAGTTAAGTTTTATATACTTATTAATAAAAATAAAATAATGGCTCAACTTAAAAGGTTCTGCTTTGGTCTAATCATGAAGAAATAATTACGAGTATTTGGCAAAACTTTACAAATAAGCCCGAAGTTTGTTTATACTTCTTTCTAAATCCATAACAGCTATAGAATTTTTTGAAACTAGAATAAACATCTTTAGGATTTCCTTTATAGGGTGACCCGCTTGCTTGGGGCTCAATATTGAAAAAAGTTCTCGTGAACGCGACCACAGACACGAAATGTACATAAAAAAGTAATCGTCAGATATGTCAGGCTTAAAAATCTGCACACAAATTGACAAGATTAAAACTGAGTGGTTTCAGCTTTTTAATTTTAAATTAATTGAAGTTATTAATAGTAAATAATTTACTACATGCCAAGAAACTTTAATTTACATTGTTTTTTTTTTTGGCATAAACTCCAAAAAGGGAGATATCGTATTGGCGCATATAATATTGTTGTTATTAGAAATGAATAGTACAAAATAAGGGCGGATTGAACCACGCCCACTCCTACCTCCCATACGACTCTACGAGCCTGTGAGAATTTTCAGTGTATTAAACTATGTATTTGTTTTGTTTTTAATTATAATAACAAGATATTCACCCCTCCCCTCTGTCCCCTCTGTAATTTCGTCAATACTGTCCACATTTCAAAGGCTTCATAAACCAAACTTTGCATACCTAATCTATATACAATTATACTATATCTTTGTTTTAAATTTGGAGATTTATGCCAAAAAAAAACGGTGATTTAGACATATACGCTTTGCTTATAAATCTGAAAGCTATGTATTATTCGATGACAAAAAAAAAGATAATAATTTAATTATTATAAATTAAATGATACCCCATTAATTTATAATTATTGTATTTTGTGTGCAGATTGTCTGCCTGAGCTCGTGATGCTCGTGCTAATAACATAATAATAATTGTGAACTTTTTACTGGCCTGTCCGATTCATTCATCATGATGCGAAATTTTTCTATTTAACGGTATTATTGAAATTAATTTTGTCACGCGATGAACAACATCTTAGGCTTAAATATATGTAGGGTCATAGATGCAGAATTATTGTCAGTCAGCAATGTTCTAAATATCAGTTTCGTTTCTCTTTCGACTCAGAGAAAATGTTGCTCCAGTGATTTTTAATATTGATATTTTTATATAAATATACTACACTCGTATATTGCATTAGTACCGATTCGATTTCGATTAAGGCCGCATAGCTTACGGCATTTCACATATGTATGTATCTAGCAGCTACCTGTACTCATAAAATCGCAAATTAAGTGCAAATATTGAATTTAATAAAAGCAAGCAAAAAATATAAAGCAACATATGGATTTATATGTGAAGCGTCTGCGAAGGTTGAAATGCCAGCGGCAAAGTTTGAATGCACACTGTTTGTATCGGAAAAAAAATCTACAGATATATGCATTTAACATGAATTGGTATTAAAATTTTGATTGGGCTTTTAAATGTTTTAATGTGTATCTAATGTGGCAGGGATATTCATTTTTTGTGATTCATTTCGGCACATTGGATGGTAAAAGTGGGTCGCCATTATCTCAACCCAATAGCCAACCACTTTCGCAAGGACCCGCAGCAGCTGCTTTCAACATACGAAAAGTGTATGCGACATTATCAGTTGGCCGTTGAAAACAACAATAAAACATAAAAGGACACATTTTTGGAGACTTCACATTGTGGCCCTCCACTTATTACTGTTGACAGGCCAGGGCCGGGGGCTGAAATTTGGCATATATGTTGCAACAATTAATGCTCCATTCAAAACAAGCTGAATAGCGAGCAAATCAGGGAAGCGCGAACTCAAATTAAATTTACAACGACTCGGGCTGTCATCTGTTCCAGAGACAAGCTGGAGACAAGCCGAGTATTGGTTGGGATGAGACGATGAGCTATCCTTGTCGCAAAGTTTAGATATCAAGTTGATAATTTCATTAAACGTTCCAACAAGTGAGCACAAAGTTTCTCTCTGAAATGGATTTGCTGTGGCTTTTTGCGCTTTAAATTTGACGCTTAGATGCACAGTTGCATTCAATGCCTCCATCGACTTCGACTTTGCGCTGAGTCAGTGGCCTAGTCTGGGGCTTTCAGCAGAACAGCAGAACAGCAAACATCACTTTGTGGTAGTCATCATTTGCTCAACAAGTGTTTGCTCTGGCGAACCTTTTTGCCAACTTGCCAAGCGATTAAAATGAATGGGTGAAGATGGCAGGAAAGGCAGGAAAGAAAATGAAATGGGCCCCACGCCGCCCCCCCCCCCCCCTTACATCCCCACCACACTCGCTCAAAGCTGTGATTCACAGCCACGTGAGGACGTGTCTTATTGGCCTCATAAGTAAACTGAACGCTGACAAACGGTGTATATTTAGTCGCAAACTAGACTACGTTGCTAAAACGCCGCCATTGTTATCAATAAGCGAAAAAATACCAAATGTCACGAGGGATACTTGTATTGTCGCTGATGCTTCTCTCAGTTATCAATGCAGATTCAAATTCCCCACAGGTTTCCCTTTCATTACGACAAATGGTGAGCAACTTTTCAGTGGCAGTGCAGCACAGAGCGAGACACAATATTTTCTTTATATACATTTACTAGCTTTCACAAAAATTACAAAAGTTATAAATTTTATAACACACACTCTTTTCGCTATGAGTTACTAAAAAAAAGTTTAATTATAGACAAAGTTTATTATATTGATGATTGTTTTTGTTCTTTTTTAGATTTTTGTTATTCTTTATTGAGTCAGAGCTTCCCTGTGAACGATACTTGTATTTGATGTTGTTTTATTTTATGGCAGCAAAATAAATTGATTTTCAGAAGCTCCGACCCGAGATAGGCCAACACTTATTTGCCATGAGCAAAATATTCCTTTCGTAGGCCGATCCGCACTAATTCAAAGGTTTGGCCTAGGGACTTGTTAATAGTTAACGCGAAAGATGTTTTTTACCGGAAATAGAAGCCGTGTAAATGGAATTTACAGATCAACTGGCATCATCAGTATCCTCGGTATATGAGTTGACCAGCTGTTGGTCCTCTGATAATGGTTTAAGTATAGCACTTAAATTCTCCAGTACATGGTCGGAGAGCTTAAATTTCTCAAAAGCATGATGGGAATTCCGATTTTTAACTTCAATTCATGTGGCGACAGTTTAGAAGAACTTAAGGAATTTAAAAATTCCTGTGGGTAATGAACTGTGTCTTCGATATTAGTGACGGTGTCGATCGATTTTTAGTTTTTTATTTGGCTGGGGGCTTTTTAATAATATTGCCTTAATATTTAAAGTGACAAAATGATTCTAGTATGATTCTGAACTGACATCATACTGTTTAGGAATTGGCGTTTTAGCGAGCATCTCTATCTCTTTTGCAAATATAATATAGCCTATGTTAACTGAGGATAGTGTAGCTTTCCAACAATGAAAGAATCCTTTAAATCGGTCCAATAGTTTCGGAGCCTTTTCAATTCAAACAAACAATCAACTCTTTCCTCTTTATAATATCAGTATAGAAGTATAGATGATATAGTTAGTACTAAGCAAGCCCACGTCAAGGTAAAAGTATATTATTTGGCGTCTTTTAGCATCAATTATGCTCCGATTCACAGCCTAACTAAAGATTGGTCAGATGAAGAGAAAAACTTAATTCTAATTAGATTACTGAAGGAGAAAAGAAAGAAAATACTCGAATACTATAACAAGCTACTATAACAAGCAAGTAAGCGAGAAAGATCGTTATGATCCGAAGAAAAACGACGCCATGGTCAGTCTTTTAAATAGCTAAAAAAAAAACACGATGTCACGCAAAGGTTGGGATGACAGTGGAGTGCGAAGAAACTGAATTGCTTCCGGACTCGACTCAATTCCTGATGCCTTTTATACTTCGCAGTTTAATTTGTAATCCAAAAAAGACTCCGAGTTTTTATACATACTATATTTATATTTTATATTTTAGGTTTTTCGTATACATAAGTAACTAAATGGGGCCTAATTCAATGAAAATTATGATCTTAAACTTAGAACAATACAATGGATATCATAGAGGGGACGAGGCTTATAAATAAAGTAAATAATAAAAGTCCAATATGAGTTGTATTCTTTCTCAAGTCGTATTCAGATTATTTTATTCGATTTGAGAAATTTCAGTCAGGTGCCTAACCAGAAGTTTCAGGAGTAAAAAAACAAATTCTATCGGACTCGACCTAATCCCATTTCATACTAGTATAAATTCTCAAATTAAGTAATAACCAGTCTCAAATTTGAACTAGTCCAGAAATTAGAGAACTAATAAGTGTGAGTGCTTTGGTTTCAAGTCGGCTTGAATTAATGCTTATTAAAAGGTACGTGTATGACATAATATCTATATTATTTGTATCAGATTAAGATCTACCACGGAGTACAGATTATAAATAATGGGTAATATCACTATAAATAACAAAAAGGTGTAAGGTAATTGACAAACACAAACAAATAGTCAGAAGCAGTCCTTTAACAGGTCTATAAATACTTGTAACTACATATTTCGAGATGAACTTAATTGTTTAATTTTGTACTTAGAATTTATTTAAGAATAATAATAACGCTATATAATAATAATGCTTTTTTTCGCAGGTGTTGGATATGCAATATGTCTTATCGATATTTATATGGGCATGTACTACAACACCATTATTGGCTGGGCCGTCTACTATCTGTTTGCCTCATTTACCTCAAAACTTCCATGGACGTCCTGCGACAATCCCTGGAATACGCAAAATTGTATGCCAGTCACGAGCGAAAACTTTACTGAGCTGGCCACATCGCCGGCCAAGGAGTTTTTCGAGTAAGTTTTGGAACAAGCTATTCGGACCTCTAGGTATCACCTCTAACTTTTAGACGAAGGGTCCTGGAAAGCCATAAGGGCAATGGCCTGGACTTTATGGGACCGGTGAAACCAACATTGGCTTTGTGCGTATTTGGTGTCTTCATCTTGGTGTATTTCTCCCTATGGAAAGGAGTACGGAGTGCAGGAAAAGTGGTTTGGGTCACAGCATTGGCTCCCTATGTGGTGCTCATCATTTTATTGGTGCGTGGCGTCTCCCTGCCCGGTGCTGACGAGGGCATTAAATACTACCTTACGCCGGAGTGGCACAAACTGAAGAACTCAAAAGTATGGATAGATGCGGCCTCTCAAATCTTCTTCTCGTTGGGTCCAGGCTTTGGTACTCTGCTAGCCCTCTCCAGCTACAACAAATTTAATAACAACTGCTATCGAGATGCGCTAATCACGAGCACCATTAACTGCCTGACCAGCTTTTTAGCGGGCTTTGTCATCTTCTCCGTGTTGGGGTAAGTTAAAAGTGCTTACTCGTCTATAAATTGATTATTTATAATATTGCTATATCGAACAGATACATGGCGTACGTGCAGAAAACGTCTATTGATAAAGTCGGCTTGGAGGGGCCTGGATTGGTTTTCATCGTATATCCCGAGGCGATAGCGACAATGAGCGGCTCCGTCTTTTGGTCGATTATATTCTTCCTAATGCTCATTACACTCGGCTTGGATAGCACTTTTGGAGGCCTCGAAGCCATGATAACAGCTCTCTGCGACGAGTATCCGCGTGCCATTGGCAGAAGGCGCGAACTTTTTGTTCTTCTCCTGCTCGCCTGCATATATTTGTGCGCACTGCCAACAATGACTTATGTAAGTAATAAGATTAGGCACATAAGGCTTACATACAAGTATATATATATAGTATAGGTTTCAGCCACTGTGATTGCTTTAATTAATTGTTATGTAAATGTTCATTTAGATATCTATTTAGTAGAGCCATGCAAGGCTCCTTGGTGGGTCTCTTATGGGTTGCATACCACACTCGTATGTGTTATGCATGACTGGCGATTGTCTTCCGACCAAGCGGCCACTTCACCAAACTGTTTAGATATGCCAGTGAAAAACGATGGATTGCCGTGTTAAGTGCTTTTTATCGTTCATTCAGTTAATCTCACATACTAAGCCACCACCGACTGAGCTGAGTTGATAGACCAGCACCAGCACCAGCCCTCCTCCACCTTGCATTTTTATCACCTGTCAGCCGGTCAACTGGTCAACCTAGCTGCCAATTTAGCACCTTCTTGGTCCTGTCCTTGCTATTGTTATTGTTGTTGTTGTTGTTTTGGCTAACACAAACACTTGACGGTGTGGCCGGTTGTTTGTTCAGCACCCCGCCACTTTGTTTGATTACATTTGAAATTGTAATTTGTTGCGTTCCATGTACATATACATACATATTTCACTTTAGCAGCGCCACTTTGCGCTTCTTTCCCATTTGAGCTGTACCGGTCAATGGATCGAACTACTTAACAATCTATGTACGAGCATGTGCAAAGATATGCCCTAGAAAGAAACTTTTTCAGATTATCTGTAGGCAGGCAAAATACTATAAGTAATGGTGAAAAGTTTAGTGTGATTGAATGATTGAACGGTTTTACTCCAAAATTGAGAATTTGTTTTAATGCCTACATTTATTGAAGTAATTTTAATTATACATACAATATAATAATCTGACGCACAACGACTTTCTATACTTGTATGTCAACACATTTCTCTTATTTAACCTTATTTCATTAAAAAAAAAAACTAAAAGTGAAATGTCCTGGAATTTATTTTAACTAAATAGCAGCCAAGTATTTATTTTGAGAACTTAATTTTTTGTTTATATCTGTAAATACGGTATCATCAGTATCTCAAAGAAATAAAACTTTACTTACTTTACTTTAACTGTTTTATTCGTAAACTACAAAAGATACATATTTGTACTATAACTTTTTCATTGTAAAAATTTCAAATGATGTGGACCAGTGTTCCTGTAAATACGACATATACTCTTCTATGTTAAGATAAGGCCTTTTAAGCCGTTTTAGGTCGTTGTGCTGCGAAACATGCACCAATAACAAAATCAGATCTTGTTAAATATAAAATACTAGCAGGTATTGCCCGTCTTAACCCGGCTCAATATAATGTTTCCAATTGTATTTATTTTGTGTGTGCATAACCTACCCATATGTTTTCACCTTATAAGTTACCAGTAGGAAGGCATTTAAGGTATTTAAATGAACATTTTCTGTTCTTGACAAAAAATTGTTGAGTAGTCCGTTACATTTTTGTTCTTGCCAAACTATTTCTTTAAACGAACATGACCACTATAACTAATATTTTTTTAAACCTCCCCCCTTTGGAGTTAGAATTTTCCAAAAGCCTTTCTTAGTGTGCTCCTACACTATGATGGATACTATGAAAAGATACTTGAGTTCAAATTTCATCTTTTACCGTTTGGGCTGTGCATTGATCACCAATTAGTCAGGACAAACTGTTTTATATATAGAGATAACGCAACGTTTTAAGATAGACGATTTGCAAAAAAGGGGGAATAATTATAAGGGTATATCCTAATTTTAAATTCACATTTGAGCCTTTTCGTGTCATATTGAGTCAATACGGTCACGCACAAACTCGGAATATGAAACACGGCACTCGTGTCAATGCCGTGCAGCGATGAGCCACGATCAAAAAGCACTGACAATTCTCATCTCAATTTGCTAGAGTAAAACTTTCGATAGTTGAAGCCACCGATACCATCAAAATATCGAAGTTTGAATGCAATAAGCAGAATATTTAAATAATAAAATCTAATTATTTATTGAGATCGATAAGAACAAATCATATACATACATACATGTGCCCGCAATGCGAAGCAGAATATGCGTAGCTCCGTTATTCGGTTTCTGCTTTACTATCGCATACGCAGTCGTTGCTTAGCGACGGTAACTGTAAACTTTTAACGTTTTGCCTTTGCAATTAACATTAAATGGTCAAAACGAAAGAAGATGTGCGAGCCAACAACTTGAAGTTGTTGTTGTTGTTTTGTATTTACATGCTTCATACATATACAGGCATAGATACATATGCTTGTACATATGTATGTATGCATGGGCACACATAGACACGAACTGTTCCCAACTATTTGATATTTGATATATGGCAAGTAAAAAACATATTGCTATATTTTAATCGTTAAATGCCAATTTGTTGATATAGTTATGTTGATTACATTACCCAAATTTGAAATCGATCGGACAAAATTTATAACACAAACTATTCATTTGAAAAAGTGAATAAATATTAAAACCCCAATAATAAAATTAAATGCGATATATCGAAAATATCGATACTTGTGTTGATATATCGTAATACATGTCGAATACAAATACATCGAAAAACATCGTTTGAGAGTTATTGATTATAATACTGTATTCGATTGTACACTGTACACATACATACATACAAATTTATTTGTATGTGTACTGTAACTGTAAACTTTTGGCATTTTGCGTATGTAATGAACAGGCGTAAATGATCAAAACGAAAGAAGATTTGCGAGCCAATAACTTGAAGTTGTTGTTGTTGTTTTAAAAATTTTGATTTGAAACCATAGAAAACTATTTTTTACAATTAAACAACAGTGTTCGATAGCCCACTGCATACTTGTACATACAAACTTATATATGTATATAGGAATGTATGAACGTACATACATACTTATTGATACATATGTACATGCTATACATACAGACTTATGTACGTATGTAATACATATGGTGCTGTCGTAATTCATAATGCGAAATTCTTTCTAAGGGGAGAAATGTCCCCCCTGCCCAACCTGCGTACGCCCTTGTAGTCCGTTGTCCTAAAAACTCCTTATGCCAAATGTACTAAACAAAGAAAAAATAGCATAAAAATGTTTATGTTAAAATGTTAATAATTTTTAATTAATTAACATTTCTTGCCCTGTCAGTGCAAGACGAATGTACTTTTGTACATACATATGTATGTATGTATGTACATACATGTGTACAAATGAACATTCACACATTAGTGTCTCACATTTTGCTTTGGCTACTTCAACCGTTTACACGCAACTACACGAACAGCTGCTTGTATGTATGTGTGTGTGTGTGTGTATGTATACTTAGTTGTCCCCAACTGTTTGATATTTTGTATTGTTTGTTCTACCTGCATTTGTAAAATGCATATTTTAAAAATCGTTAAATGCAAAGTTGTAATTTTAGTTACGTAGATTATATTACCCAAATTTGAAATCGATCGGACAAAATTTATAACACAAACTTTTCATTTGAAAAAATGAATAAATATTAAAACCCCAATAATTCAAGCTCCAACACAAACCGAGTATGCAGTTTTGTTTGTATTCTTTTATAGATTATAAAACCTAAATTTAAAGTTGATCGATTCAAAAATGCAGAATTTTCAAACAAACTTTGGAGCTACTTTTCCCCCCTTTGGAGCTCGAATTTTCCAAAATCCCTTCTTAGTGCGCATCTACACCATGATAGGATACTTGAGCCCAAATTTCAGTTTCCTAGCTTTTACCGTTTGGGCTGTGGGGTGTTGATTGTGTTTCAATTTTTCCACGGAAAACCCCCCTTTTTTCATGCCCCAGGAAAAATGGTGAAAAACCAAGTATACAGTTTTTCTTGTATTCTTTTTGAGAGTATACAAACTAAGTTTGAAGTTAATTGGATGAAAATTGTAGATTTTTCATACAAACGTTGGAGCCCGTTTTCCCCCCTTTGGCGTTCGAATTTTCCAAAACTGCTTCTTAGTGCTCACCTACACCACTGAAGACAACATGTGTCCAATTTTCAGCCTCTTAGCTCTTACCGTTTGGGCTGTGCGTTGATTGCACATAGCTTTTCGTTTACCGAATTTTCCACCGGAAAATCATTATTATTCAGGCCGCAGGAAAAATATTGAAAATCCAAGTATACCGTTTTTTTTGTATGCTTTTTGAGAATATACAAACTAAGTTTGAAGTTAATCGGATGAAAATTGTAGATTTTTCATACAAACGTTGGAGCCCGTTTTCCCCCCTTTGGCGTTCGAATTTTCCGAAACCCCTTCTTAGTGCTCACTTTCACTATAAGAGGGATCTTGTGTCCAAATTTCAGCTTCCTAGCTCTTACCGTTTGGACTGTGCGTTGATTGCCAATCAGTCAGTCAGTCAGTCAGTCAGGACAAACTGTTTTATATATATAGAGATTGATTGATATTTCACAATCTAAAAGAAGATTTTATGTGGAAACTAACCCTCCTTCTCCAGATAGATACAATTCTTCAATGGTTCTTTATTCACTCTCCTTCTTGGTTATTGTAAGAATCCTAAAGGGTATTTGGGAGAGAACGCATTTGTTTTTAATGAAAGGATAATTTAAGGTTGGTGTACGAATTCTGAATGATAGATAAATAAAAATATTTTAAGTTTGTTCCTGTTACGTTTGCAGCAAAATATTTCTGGAAAACATTTTTTATGTGTTTAGGAAAGCAATAAAAACGCAATGTACTTCATGCAAGCCCATAGAATTTTGAAATCAATCCCGACTTATCTATCAAATTTGTGATGCTGATTTTTTAAATTCAACCGATAATTTGCAAGTTCTCAATCCCGACTAACAAAAGTTATATAGTTTACATGGTTTTATACAAAACTGAAAAATTACATAAAAATGTTAAATAAAAGATTGGGTAAATTAAAACCTATTCGTTCCTTTTTCCACTCACAAAAACTGTTCACACGAGCTTGGCCATCAATTTTTTTTCTTAGTATCTAATTTATTACACAACAT